CGTGGTAAATATTTTTTTAAAATCATTTTATTGGGGGCTCGTACAACTCTTATCACAATCCATACATCCATCGATTGTGTCAAGCACACATGTACATTTGTTGTCATCATCATTCTCAAAACATTTTCTTACTACTTGAGCCCTTGGTATCAGCTCATTTTCCCCCTCCTCCCCCACCCTCCTTACCTCACAAACCCTTGATAATCTATCAATTATTATTTTTTCAGGTCTTACACTGACTGACGTCTCCCTTAACCCACTTTTCTGTTCTCTGTCCCCCAGGGAGGGGTTTATATGTAGATCATTGTGATCAGTGTCCCTCCTGATATCTCTACTCTCATTATTAGTCCTGAGGGGTTTATCTATCCTGGATTCCCTGTGCTTCCAGCTCTTATCTGTACCAGTGTACATCCTCTTGTCTAGCCGGATTTGTAAGGTAGAATTCGGGTCATGATGGTGGGGGGTAGGAAACATTAAAGAACTAGAGGAAAGCTGATGTTTCGTCGGTGCTATATTGCACCCTGACCGGCTCGTCTCCTCCAGGTGACCCTTTTGTAAGGGGATGTCCAGTTGCCTGCAGATGGGCTTTGGGTCTCCATTCTGCACTCCCCCTCATTCACAATGATATAATTTTTTGTTGTTTGATGCCTGTGTAAGTCTGGGTACTTTCGAGAAACAAATCCACAGAAACTCATGCATAAGAGAGAGTTTTATATAAAGGTTAAGTGTGCTTCAAGAAAACATCCCAACCCAGTGCTGCCCAAGCCCACAAGTCCAATATTAACCCATTAACCCATATGTCCAACACCACTCCACAAAATCCTCCTCCATCTCACAAAACAGACGTAATGATGTCGACTGCCGCAGGAAAGCCGAGTCAGTGAATGTGTAAGCATCCCAGCGCTGGCAGGGGTCTCCACACGGCTGCTCCAGCACCTAGGGCTGCATCGGGGTAGGTCCATGTGGCTTCTCCTCAGGGATGTATGCAGGAAGTGAGCCTTGCCAGCTAAAGCAGGGAATTGGCTAAGGCAGCTGCACCCTGGTCCGACCATCAGAAAGCAAGAGACCTGAGAACTAGAAAGGCGAGGCTCACTGAGCCATTTATCTCTCTAACCTTCAATTTACCCCACATGTGTTTATTGGCCAGGTTGGCCTGATGTCTCATGATCACACGGGCTGGTGTGCTTCTTCCATGTGGGCTTTTGTGCTTCTCAGCTAGATGACCGCTTGTTTACCTTCAAGCCTTTAAGACCCCAGATGCTATATCTTTTGATAACTAGGCAACAACAGCTTTCTTCACCACATTTGCTTATGCACACACTTTGTCTTCAGTTATCGTGTCAGGAAGGTGAACATCTTGGAATGCCAGGTTAATAGAAGAAAATGTTCTTGCATTGAGGGAGTACTTGAGTTAAAGCTCAATGTCCATCTGCTACCTTAATATTAAACCTATAAATATATGCACATAGATCTATTTCCCCATCATCATATATAAATATATTTACATATATACATGCCTTTATTTAGACCTCTATAAGTGCCCTTTGCCTCCTAGTTCTTTCCTCTATTTCCTTTGACTTTCCTCTTGTCCCATTATCATGCTCAGCCTTCAGCTGTGGTCAGTAATTCCTCTCGGTTACATTGCCCTTAATGAAGCCCTACCAGTACTCCTATACCCTCCTCGCCATTGATTTTTGATCGCTTGTTGTTCCCTTATCCCTGGGTTTGTTAACACCCACTACCTTTCCCCCTGCCTCCCCCTCTCCCATATCCCCCCCCCCAACCATTCCCGTTGTTTTCTCTTTCAGATTGTTTCTCCCGCCTATCATATCTAGATAGGCCAGCAGAGATAATAATATGCACAAAAACAAGAGAAAGCAAAACAAAGCAATAAAAGAAAACCAAACAACAACAAAACAGAAAAATCAATGACAAAAAAAGAATAGAAAAGCCTGTAAATCGTTCGAGGTCTGTTTGTTGACCTTTAGGAGTGTGTTCTCGTTGAGTCTGATGAGGTGCCATGCCCTCACCCCAAAGCCTACTTTTGGTATTCCCTGGGGATTTTATTGCTCTGTTCCCCTTGCTGTTCTGTTGCACACCCTTAGTGTTTCGATTCTGTGTAGTTATTTTTTATTGTGGCAAAAAATATACACAGCAAAACATTCTCCAATTCCACAACTTCAATATGTATGATTCAGTACCATTGATTATATTCTTTGTGTTGTACAACCATTATTGATATCTTTTTCCAAATTATTCCACCACCATTATCATAAACTCAATGCCCCCTAAACAACAACTCTTTCTCCTTCACCCATGGTAACCACTGGTCTAGTTTGGTTTCTTTTTACCGAGACTGCAACTCTTCATGGGAGTCGAAAGCCCTTTCATCCTTCCGCAGAGCAGGTGGTGGTTTCAAACTGCTGACCTTTTGGATCACAACCGAACACGTAAACCCTATGCCCGTCCCCAAGACTCCTTAAGTGGAGATGTGATGGGGCAAATACTGGTTCTGTGACAACACCGCGTCCTCCATTAGTGGCATGCTCATTCAGCTCTTGTCTTTACAGTCAAGTCAGTTATTTTGCTCCCACTGTTTAACAATAATAAAAAAAGACATTTAAACAAAATCCTTGCATACCTTGTTCAGTTGGAGAATTGTAATGTTTTTCATTTATCATTGCAAAACCAAGGATTATTTCATAACTTTTTTGTTCATAGCTGTTACATATAGGGCAGTATGTCTTTAACAGGGGTAGATTACTCTCAAAGAAATAAAGCCTAGGTAGTTTTCCCTTCAAGTCAAGCATCTTGTTTAAATATATTTCTTCTTTACTTGGTGCTTTTGTTTTGTTTTAAGATAATGGAATATTTCCTCAAACTTTTTGAAGCCCCCTTGTAAAGAAGTGCAAGGAAAAAAGTTTAATACTTATGGAGCCCTGGTGATGTGGTAATGCGTTGGGCTGCGATCTACATGGTCAGCAGTTCAAAACCACCAGCAGCACCAGGGGAGAAAGACTGGGCTTTCGACTCCCATAAACAGTTACAGTTTCAAAAGAACACAGAGGGTTGCTATAAGTCAGCATTGATTCGATGACAGTGAGTGAGTGTACTTCCTTGCTCCTGCTCCAAACTCTGCAATCCTTTCCCACCTCCGGGAAATTTCCTCTCTCTCTCTCTCTTCCCTTCTCTCTTCTGGAACTACCTCACCATATTAAGCAGAAACAATGCCACTGAATACATCCTGATCCACAGCGCCCCCATGTGTTACACAGTAGAATTGCTCTGTAGGACTATGAATTGAGCAGCTAACATCTGGCTGTCAGTCCTTTGAAACCACCAGCTGCTCCACGAGAGAAAGATGAGGCTTTCTCCTCCCACCTTGGAACCTTGGAAACCGCCAAGGGCGGTTTACTCTGTTGCACAGTGTCACTGGGTAGGAATTGACTTGAGGGCAGTGAGAAACTCATCAGGTAGGAGACCTGGTGGGACTGTTGGGTAAGCTTTGGGCAAGGTCTATGGTACAAGCCCACCAGCCACTCCTCAGGAGAAGGATTTAGCTGCCTGCAGCTTTAAAAGATGTACATCCTTGGAAACCCAATAGAGGGTCACTGTGAATCAAAATGGATTCTGGGGCAGTGGGTTAGGTTTGATATAGTTTGGTTTGATGGGAATCACAGCAGAAAAGAGGTCAGGAGGTACAGTGTTTCCGAGCTTCTGTAAAGATTTACAAACTCAGAAACTCAATGGGGCAGTTCTACTCAGAGGGTTTCCATGAGTTAGAATGGACTCAATGACAACACGTTTTGTTTTGAATCTTAACAGAATGGAGCCATGTGGTTCAATGCTTAAGCAATCTGCTACTAACCAAAAAGCTGGTGTGGTGGTGACGCATTGGGATGCTAACTGCAAGGTCAGCAGTTGAAAACCACGGAAGAAAGACCGGGCGTTTGTAGAGAGTCACAGTCTCAGAAACCCCCAGGGGCAGTTCTACCCTGCCCTATAGGGTTGCCATGAGTCCGCAACCAACTGGATGGCAGTGAGTTTGCTTTGGGAGTAGCTCTGGTGGAGAAAAAACATGATCTTTAAACACTAAAAGGCTGTTTTTAATTAAAAAACAAAAGAAAAAAAACAAACCCCGCTGGCAATCTGTTTCCATCAAGATTATAGCCCAGGAACCCCTCTGGGGGAAGTGTACCCTATAGATGGTGCCTTTATGTGTAAGAATCAATTCAACAGCATCCAGCAACAGCAATTTTCAGAGAGAGAGTTCACCAGGCCTTTCTCCTGGAGTACTACTGAGTAGGTATGAACCACAAGTCTTAAAGGTGAGCAGTGTATCTAAGAGGTGCCTGAGGAGGGGGACCGCGAGGAGTGTCTATTAACTATCGCTGTTTGCATCACCAGCATTGAGAGATCATCCAGCAAGTAAACACAAATACTTTGATATTTGAGAGCCGACATGTGTCAAGGAATCTTGGTGGTGTACTGGGGTGAGCACTGGGCTACTAACCACAACGTGAGCGGTTCAAATTCACCACCCACTTTGTGAGAGAAAGATGGAGCTGTCTGCTCCCATAAAAACGTATAGTCTTGGAAACCTTAAGGAGCAGTTCTACTCTGTCCTATAGGGTAACTATGAGTCTGAATTAACTCAACGGCAGTGATGGTTCTCCCCGCCCATATGCCCACCCAGCACCCACCCCCCTTTTTTTGATGTTTTGTTTGTTAGTTTAGTTTTGCTTTTATGAGTCAAGGCAGACTTCATGACTTTGCTCTACTGAGTATCAAAAGGGAAGGCACCGAAGGCAGAAATTGCTTTGGGGGCTTCATAAACCAGTTTCCACGGAAGGTACAGGTGTAAGCCATCCTCACACGCATTGCTATGTTTGAACCCATTGTTGCCACCACTGTGTCAATGACCTCGTTAAGAGGCTTCATTGTTTCCCTTTTTACCAAGCGTGTGTGCTGTCCTTTGCCAGATGTTCCCTCCTGATCACATGTCCACCACCGTGCACCGCATCGCCAAGCCCTTCAACCCCATGCTGGGCGAGACCTTCGAGCTGGACCGCCTGGATGACATGGGTCTGCGCTCCCTCTGAGAGCAGGTGCGCCACCACCCGCCGTCGGCGGCGCACCACGTCTCCTCCAAGCATGGCTGGAGCCTCTGGCAGGAAATCACCATCGCCAGCAAGTTCCGAGGGAAGTACCTCTCCATCATGCCCTTACGTGCCATCCACCTGGAATTCCAGGCCAGCGGGAACCACTATGTGTGGAGGAAGAGCACCTCGACCGTGCACAACATCATCGTGGGCAAGCTCTGGATTGACCAGACCGGAGACATTGAGATTGTGAACCATAAGACCAGGGACCGGTGCCAGCTGAAGTTCCTGCCCTACAGCTACTTCTCCAAGGAGGCAGCCCGGAAGGTGACAGGAGTGGTGAGTGACAGCCAGGGCAAGGCCCACTACGTGCTGTCCGGCTCGTGGGACAAGCCGATGGAGTGCTCCAAGGTGGTGCAGAGCGGCCCCAGCAGCCCCACGCTGGACGGGAAGCAGAAGACGATTTACCAGACGCTGCCGGCCAAGCTGCTGTGGAAGAAGTACCCGCTGCCCGAGAACGCCGAGAACATGTACTACTTCTCGGAGCTGGCGCTGACCTTGAACGAGCAGGAGGAGGGCGTGGCGCCCACCGACAGCCGCCGGCGGCCGGACCAGCGGCTCATGGAGAAGGGGCACTGGGACCAGGCCAACACGCCAACACGGAGAAGCAGCGGCTAGAGGAGAAGCAGCGCCTGTCGTGGCGGCGGCGGCTGGAGGCCAGCTCGCGGGGCGGCCACTTCAGCGGCCTGGAGGACGCGGAGAAGGAGGCGGAGGTGTACACACCGCTGTGGTTCGAGAAGAGGCTGGATCCGCTGACCGGGGAGACGGCCTGCATGTACAAGGGCAGCTACTGGGAGGCCAAGGAGCGGCAGGACTGGCACATGTGCCCCAACATCTTCTGAGCGCCGCCTCCCTCCCAAATACAGGCTCCTGCCAAGCCCGGCCCCCTGTTTTCATGCCCTTCTCTCCCCACCCCTCCTCACCCTACTTTCTTCTTTTTTAATTTCATGTTTGTTTGTTTGTTTTTAAACATTCTTTGGGGGCTCCCACATCAGGAGGAGGGAGTGCTGACCCGAGTTTTCTCCAGCCCCCAGGTGCCCCGGGTCGCCCTGGGGGCCCCTCTCCTCGCGTACTTGAGGCCCCTTCCCGGGACCCTAGCTCCGGTGTTACCACCACTCAGGCCGGGCATGGGCGTGGGCAGCCTGACACCAGCCCAAACCTGGGGGGAGCTTGGGGGCGGGAGGTGGGTGGGCGTTCTGCTGTTCTTCCCCGGGGAACCTCTCTTTGGACTTTTTAAAGAAGAACCCCGTTTCTTTCCATCCACGACATTTAGTACGTACTCGTGTTTTTAGTACAACTCTTGGCAGACAACTTTCCAAGTGTGCTTTCCTGCCACAGGTGGGAGCTGGCAGGAGCCCCTCATTTAGTGGGACCGGGCAGCCCAACCTTGAGGTGGGAGAATGAGCAGCTCAACATAGCAAGGCCCTCTTCACATTTGAGCTGCCCACCTGCCAGGAGCCCAGGGCAGAGCCCTGGGGTTAGAGCCACCACCCGCCCCGGGGGTCTGAAGGGGCCAGAGGGGGATGTGAGGGCCAAAGGCCTTGCCAGGCTCTCGCTGTGCCCGCCGCCCCGCCCCGCGGCCAGGAGGACCCATGAGCTGGGCCTGCAGGTGCTCTCCACCAAGACCCAGGCCCCAGATCAGCAATAACGAACCAACTGTGCTCGGCCTGAGCTGGTGACGGAGCCCCAGAGCCCCTGCTTCCCACTGGCCTCGGAGGGGGGCGCGGAGGTCAGGATGTGTGTGTGCCCCCATCTCAGTGCCGCCTTTGAACCCTTTCTTTGCCCAATTTATATATATGATACATAAATGTATATGAAATTGCTATTTTGCTTAACTTTCTATAGTCTGGGAACGTGAAAAATTATGACGGCAGGGCTCCTGTCTGAGTTTGGCCCTCCTGCCAGCCCTGCCTTCTCCCTCAGCCCACTTCCCAAGGCACTGCTCACAGGTGGGGAAGTGGGGGTGCACTACCGCAGCCACTTCTCAGCCCCTCCACAAGCCCACTCCAGCCCTTTGTACTTCGGTTCAGGCCCTGAGAGTCCATCACGGGGTTTTTGTTTCTACTCCAGGACTGGTTTGGTTTTTATATGTACAAATAACAACTTCAAAGTGAGAACACCACTGTGTGCACTGCCTCAGGGCCCCCCACCCCCACCCCCTGAGCTAGCGGGCAGCCCCCAGGCCTCCCCTCGGGCTCCGGGCTGAGGGCCAGCCGTGCTGGTGAATGTACCTCTTCCCGACCCTGTTTGTCAGCAGGCACCTTTTGACCGGTCACAATAAACCTTGGATTTGGCGTTTTCCACCCCAAAAAAAAAAAAAGGACATGTGACTGCCTCTTGCCATCCTAGCTTCTACAGAGCCTCCTGGCTGTGCTTCCTCCGAGACAGATCTGTTCCTTCTTCTATCAGCCCGGGGTTTCAAAAAGTTCGTGGGAAAATTCTATTTTTTGAAGCCCCTTTGTATGTTATAAGGAGGTGAAGTGGTTATGCTAGGGCGCTAACTGCAAGGTCAGCAGTTCAAAACCACCAGTCACTCTATGGGGAAAGATGGGCTTTCTACTCAAGTAAAGAGTCACAGTCTCAGAAACTCACAGGGGCACTTTCCTGTCCTATAGGGTCGCTATAGGTCAGCATGGGCTTCTGGCAGTGAGTTTGGTTTTCTGGTTTGGTATGTGCGATTTGTCACAAGCACCTTAATGCAAATGCATCAATTCTTCTCCAGTCTTCCTTATGTGTGTTCCAGCTTTCACAGGCATTTGGAGTCACTGAAAAGCCCAGGGCTTGGGTTAGGCACGTCTTAGTCCTCAAAATGACATCCATGCTCTTCAACATTTTGTAAGTCAGAATCTACTCAACAGCAGGGTTTTTTGTTTGTTTGTTATTGATTTTGTAATCATTTTATTGGGTGCTCGTACAACTCTTATCACAATCCATACATCGATTGCATCAGGCATGTTTGTACATTGGTTGCCTTCATTCTTTTCTAGACATTTACTTTCTATTGAGTCCTTGGTATCAGCTCTTCCCCGCCCCACCCCCTTATAATTTTTTTAAAGTTGTATTGGCATATAGTTAGTATATCATACACTCAACAGTTCAATGATATAACAAATATTTGTCCAATCATCACCACAATCAGCTTTAGGGCATTTTATTTATCCATGCACTCATTGGTATTAGCTCCCCATTTCGCCCCAACCTGCCCTGCCACACCCCCAAGGAACCATTCATCCAGTTACTGTCTCTACAGATTGACATATCCTGAGTTTCATATATAGAAAAACATTAAAAGAAAAAATAAAAACAAACAATATCAAAGTCAAACAGATGAAAACCGTAATCAAAAATAAAGCAGAGGCAGGCGCCACCACACCTGCTGCTGGTGCGCCCGCCCAGTGCCTACCCAGCCTGGGCGATCTCTCCACCTGGTGCTCTGTCGCAAGCAGTGTCAGTTTTCTGTCAAAAGATGAAATTATGGCGGTGAGGTTCAGCGCCCTTGCGCTCACCGAGGGAGGATGTTGGACAGTGCGGAAGCAAAGATCCGAACGTGGAGAGCATGTGGCTGCTGACGGGAGATCTGGAGCAGAGCGCGGAGGAAGTCCTCAGCCCGCAGCAGCAAGGTGGTCCAGCTGCCTGCCCTCGCGTCCTCCTTCCAACCCCAAACATCAGAGTCACAGCCCTGAGGGTCAGGGGAGAAAGGGAGCGGGGAAGGGGAGCTGATGGCATAACCCCACTCGAGGGGAGGGAACAACAGAACTGTATGTGAATGGAGATAGTGGATGGTGTGAGATACAGCATGAATAAATGAATGAATGAATGATCCAGGGGGGAGGGGGGAAAGGGCGGGGATAAAAGAGAGCTGAAATAAAGGATTCAAGAACAAAGAAAATGTTTTGAAACTGATTGAGGTAGCAATTGTGCAATACTGCTTGATGTGCCGGAATGATGTAATGTTATGATATGTGTAAGAGCTCCCGATAAAATGACTAAAAACAAAAAGAAAGCAGAAAATATTAAAAATTGGAACAAATTTAAATGGATCAGAAGGGAGATCAAATGATAGGGTGCTAAATTTTAACCTAGCTGCATCTGCAACAATCCACTTTCCAATGCATTCTGCATGTTAGCAAGGCTGTCCCAGCCCTGGTCCATGGTCAGGGGGCATTCACTAGGAGCTTCCCCTTCACTTTAAAAAAAACCCGAAACAGCTTTAAAATGGGTCCAAAGGGAGATCAAATGATAAGATACCACATTTTAACCTAGCTATGTCTGCCATAATCGACTTTACAGTGTTCTCTGTCTGATAACAGAGCTTTTCACTTGCCTCAAATAAGACTAGAGGGAATTCACAATCCACATATGGACCCTGCAAATGGATTTTGAGCTTCCATTGTCAACAAGAGCCTGCTGCAAACCAGGTGTTCACAATTTCAGCACTGATACTGTTACTTCTTAAGAGTTGCATCATATTATTTACAACCCTTGGTTGGTCTGCTTCTTCCATGTAGATTTAGTTAATGCCTCACTTCCATGGCTGCTTGTTTGAAAACAAGCCTTTACGACTCCAGAGGCAATTCTTTGTGATAGCCTGGCACAATCTAGTTTCTTCACCACAGTTTGCTATAGAACCCATATCTTCAGTGATCTCTTCATGAGGGAGAGCATCAAACAGGGCCATATCTTAAGAACTACTTGTTCTTAGATTGGGGCTAGAATTAAGTGAAAGCCCCAAATCCATTCCTGCATCTATGGTTTGTATGTCTCTGGTTTGCCTTACGGACATCCTTGACATTTTATGTTCAGAACATTATCGATCACCTCTCTGGGGCAACACGTCTATTGCTATTCCGTCAATGCTGACTCATAGCCACCTTATAGGGCAGGGCCGAACTGCCTCTGGGAGTCTCCAAGCCTGTAAATCATCACAGGAGTAGAAAATCTCATCCTTCTGCTGCAGAGCTGGCTGGTGGTTTTGAAATTGGACCTTGGAGCCCAATACATTACCACTACACATTGAACCTGTCATTAGTTTAGCCAATGGTATAGAATTTCAGTCACTATTGAGAAAAGGAAATTATAAAAGTATAGGCCAGCTATGAATTGCAATACATGAATTGTTGACTTTTTTTAGACTAAACACTTAAGTGACTGGACATTGTGTACACAAACAATGGGGGTGGGTGATAGGGCAAAATTTTCAATAATATTCATTCACAACAGCAGAGCCATGCTTGACAGATAAATATATGTCATAATGAAGCAAGGAGGGCATTAAAATAATAAGTATATGGTATTTCAGGGCCACCACTCTTGGATACCCTCAAGGCAAGAGATTCAAACTAAAGGTCAACGTCCATCAGTTCTATGTCCTTGTGCTAGTAGTCATCTGCGTCTTCTCACACTAGGGAGTTTCAGCTTTAAGTCTAATGGCTACAGATGAGTGTGTGGTAAAGTACGGAGATAGTTAAAGTTGATTGTGCCAACCTGGCCGATAAACACATGTGGGGTTAATTGAAGGGCAGAGAGATAAATGGCTCAGTGAGCCTCGCCTTTCTAGTTCTCGGGTCTCGGGCTTTCTGATGGTCGGACCAGGGTGCAGCTGCCTTAGCCAATTCCCTGCTTTAGCTGGTAAGGCTCACTTCCTGCAAGACATCCCCAAGGAGAAGCCGCATGGACCTACCCCAATGCAGCCCTAGGTGCTGGAGCAGCCGCGTGGAGACCCCTGCCAGCACTGAGATGCTTACACGTTCACTGGTTCAGCTTTCCTCCTGCAGTCGACATCATTGAGTCTGTTTTGTGAGATGGAGGCGGACTTTTTGGATTGGTGTTGGACACATGGGCTAATGTTGGACTTGTGGGCTTGGGCAGCACTGGATTGGGATGTTTTCTTGATGTGCACTTAACCTTTATATAAAACGCTCTCTTATACATGTGAGTTTCTGTGGATTTGTTTCTCTAATGTACCCAGACTAACACGAGTACTGTTCATTTAGTGGGGGTTCCACATCAAGTCCATCTAGTGGGGCCAAAATTTCCTATAGCGCATGAACTGGGTCCCCAAGGTCTGCATAGAAACTACATCATTAGGAACCTAGTAACAGGCATATTCTCCCCTTGGGTTCCACCTAAGTATTGTTAAGCTTCCGTCCCCCTGCCCCATGGGAGGTTGCTCCTCCCCATTTTCATACCAACAGAGATTTAATTGCCCCCATCTAGACTTGAATTTCCTTATCAGTCTGGTGGGAGTGTTTGTTGGATTGCGGTGACCTTAACACAATTTTTTATGGCAGGAACTGACCCCAGCTGAGTTGAGGTCTCCTCTATGGAAGTAGTTTTAAAGATGCACATATAGAAGAGGTAGTGTATGTTTCACAGATGCTAGGCAACTATCTATCTTGTTGCTGTGGGGACTGGATTAGAATAATCAACTGGGAGCAGTGGCCTGTCTTCATCTTGGTGTTTATCTTTTAATAGTGGACTCCTACAATATGTGTCCTTGGTAATTGACTAACTTTTATTGAGTTTGTGTAGCAGATTGATTCAATGCAATCTGATTTCTTGACTGATGCTTTCATTGCACTACTGAGGTGCTCCAGGCTTGCACCCCTTTGGCAGTGCTCCAGGACCGCCAGCCCCCCACAGAGGCTCCTGCCCCTGCAGCGGCACCCCAGGCCTGCCAGAGGTTCACGCCCCCAGCAGCAGCGCTCCAGGCCTGCCAGCTGTGCGGAAAAGGCTTGTGC